ACCAAGGTGTCTGCCTTCTGACCTTTAAATCCCAAATCCCCCAACCCTAGATTCTGCTCATAGAGCTCCAGGACACCCTGCCCTCTCTCTGCCAGAGCACAAGGTGAGTGGCTTCACAGGAAATTTTGTATGTTGGCCCTTTAAGATGGTGCCTGAATTTCCAGCCAACTCTCCCTGGCCAACAGCAACCAAATGCTTTTCACAGACAGATGTTATGTGGGTACCCTTCTCAGGTCTATTGCTCTCTGCTAGGGAAGGAAGCTTGGGGATTAGACCCTAGAGTTCTCAGTGAAAAGCCCCCACAGTTGAGATCACTCTCCAGAACTTCAATTACTGTCTGTGGGAACCTGGCCAGACCTTTTGTGCCTCCAACCCTCCTACCAATCTCTATGTGGTCTCCACTTTCTCTCCATGGTTATTAGAGTTCTCTCTGGAGAGAATTCTATTAATTATTCACAAAGTTTTTTTCTGTAGTTTAATTGTAATTCCATTTAGGCCCCGGGAGCATGAAAGTGTAGCATCCACTCACTTTGCTTCTATTTTCAATGTCTACACTGGATCCTTTTAATTGGAAGAACTTTTCTTCAAAAATTCGCTGTTACACTTCCAGCAGAGACTGACATCTGTACTTGAAACTCTCTTCCATTCAGTCCATGCAGTAGAAGACATGAAGAAATTCCAGTGAATTCCTGTCTGTCTTCAGATTTGTGGATCCTTTTTTCTTTTAGCTCTTTTGATTTGGTGTTTTTGCTTCCTCCTATTCAAAATCATTGATTTGATTCTCAGAAGCTTCTAGTCTACATTTGAATCTATGTAAATTATTCTTTAATTCAGTTAGTATATGCTTAATTTCTGATTGGCCTTTCCCCCCCCCCATGTTTTTGACATTCTCTCTACCATTCTTATAAGTCTTACTAAGTCCCTTGAAGCTCTCATTAAGATCCTTGAGAATCCTTATAACAGTGTTTTGAACTTGTGTTTATTTTTATTTCATTTAATTATTTTTCTGGAGATTTCTTCTGTTCTTCCCAGTGTAAAATGTTTCTCTGTCTCCCCATTTTTCTGCTTCTCTGTGTTCGTCTCTACAGATTAGGTAGAACTGCTGCTTCTCCTGGAATTGGTAGAGTGGCCTTGTGTAATACGTTTCCTGTGGGGCCCAGTGGCTCTGCCTCCCCAGTCACCTGAGCTGGGAACTTTAGGTGGGCCCTGTGTGGGCTGTGTGCACAATCTTGTTATATTTGAGCCTTGATTGATGTTGACATCACTGAGAGGAATTGGCCTCCAGGTCAATTGGCTATGAGGACCATCTTCAACTACAGTGGAAGAACGGCTATGCAGAAGATACTCTTATGGATTAAGACTTGCTTCATTGGGGCTTTGGTGGTCACTGAGTCTGCACCTTGTGTGTGTCACTCGTGGATGTGTAGAGTTGTAATGTGCTACGGTCTGAAGTGTCCACCAGGTGCACTGGCGTTGGGGACTCCAAGAAGGTGCAAAGGCAACCACAGCCTGGGGCCACCCTGAAGGAGCTATAGAGGGATCAGCAGATGTATGCTAAATCTGTTGGTCTGGGAAGTACTCAGGTAGGCCAAGCTATGAAACAAGGCAAGCTGGTGCCAGAGTCAGATCTCCAGTCTTTTCTTGATAGATTTGGGGCAGGCTTGTTTGAGTGATTTTAACAAATTCTGAAACCTGAGCCAGGACAGGGCATTCATATGGAACATTCACTGCAAACAGCTTGGGTGGGGCTGCTAATTGTATGGGGCAGGCTAATCACAAGGGGGGAGTGAACAGTGTGAGCCAGGCTGATGGAAACTCAGATATGGCTGTCAATCAGCTTTGTGATGGGAGAGGTCTCAGCATAGGAATGGTGACATCTGTAAACACTTCTGCCTGGGAGAAAACCACCTCCAAATTCTTGCTACAATGCCAGACAATGCAGTTGATCCCCATATGTCTCTGAATTTCCCCAAGCCACTGCACAGCACTGGAGATTAGAAGGAGTGAGTTCATGTATGTTTGTGTGCTGGCCCTTTAAGAGGATCTGCTTGAGTCTCCAGGAGACTCTATCACTCAGACACAATACCTGCTTGTTTTTATAGCCCAAAGTTATGGGAACTTCTCTTCCCAGGTCTGGAGCCCTGGCCTGTGGATCTGCTGTGGGTCCCCTTGCTTCTCACAGGAGGCCTCTGCTGTCCCTGCGAATGAAAAATAACGCCACACATGGCTGTTGCACCAGCCAGTTCCATGCCTCCTCCTGGATATCAGTCTCAACGTGCTGTCTTCTTTACTTGTCTAATTGTAAGACTTCCATTCTGCTAGCTTTCAGGTGGTTCTGAATGATGGTTATTTTGTATTTTAGCTGTACTTTTGATGTGGTAGTGGGAGGTGGTAACGGTGTTTACTTACGCCATTATTTTTGTTCTGTCTTGTCCCTGATATATTGCTATATTCTGTAAGACATCAAGTATTCAGAAAAGCCACAGTGGCAAAATTTTATTTCTGAAACACAAACACTGCAGGGGGTATAGCTTTTAGTAAACATCTTGATTATAACCTCTGTTCCAACTCACCCTCAGGTGGGAACGTATGCACAGGTGACTGGGCTCCGTCAGCCAGAGAACTGGACTTATAGGGGTTGCCCACAGTACTTATTATAATTAAAATTGACAGAGCATAAACTAAAAACAGAAACAAGAGTTAGAATGCATAAATCCCAAGTTTTATTTACCAGAGACCTCGTGTTTTCCAGAAGCCTAGGCAGGTCACCTGGAGATCTGCGCCGACAGACACACACACTGGACAGGAACACGTTGCTGCAGCGTCTGGGTCAGGAAGGAGGCCTCAGAAGTTTGGCTCACAGGCAGAGTGACAGCTTCACTCAGGCAGAGTTTCATGCAGTAGTTCGAACAGGGAGAAGAGAGTGGGAGAACATGTCAGGTGGGAGAGCCCTTCGTGGTCTCTGCCCAGTACCTCTAGGTCCCTTCTTTTATGGCCATTTCTGGGTGTTTCCTTGTTCCTTCTGGGTGCAACCAATGGGTCTTCAGTGTGCCTAACAGGGTGCTCTCCAGGTACTTTTTGCCTAGGTTTCCAACTTTTCAGATAAACACTTGTTAGGGCCTCCACACAGTCCCGATAAGCACATGTTAGGGTCTTCAAACAGTTAGGGGCTCAAAGTCAGTCTTAAAACTCAAGTTTTACAAAATGGATTCAAGTCACACTAAATGGAGTTACTTATCCTAAGCCTAAGAACACATTTCAAATCATTTCTTTTATACTTAAAATAAAATCGGCATAAGATCAGAAAAACAATTCACACTAAAACTATAAATCACTCGTAAAAGTAAATGCTTTCATTCCTACTTTAAATCACACGAATAATTATTCTCACACTGTTTTAAATCCTTAAAATATAACTCAAACATCACACTAATATAACTATAACAACCTCTTTACTACAATCAATGCCCTTCTATTAATTTATTTAAATGAGGAAGAAGGATGCTACTTTTAGATTCAAATTTGTTGCTCTACTTTGTTCCTTTGTAAATTGTCACACTTCTTGCAATCGCTGTGTAAGTTACCCTATAACAGCTTCTTGTGACTTTAGTCAGATGTCTCTGATTGAATCCTCACATATCATTGTTTTTAAATCCCTTTAGCCTTCCCATACTGAAATAAAAATAGAACTGCGGAGAGGTATTATAGATACCTCTTGCTTTTGCAAAAACGAAAGCTAATGTTTTCACATTTAATTTGGTAGCAACTATAAGTATTTTTAAATTCCTCTGACTATTTTTGGTCAACCATTTCAATCTATACTTCATCTAAGTGTTCTCCCTGGGTGTGTAATTCAGTGTCATCTGTTTTTGAATAAGCAGAGCTTCTTTCATCACATCCAGACCCAGCACAATCAAGGAATCTCTCATGGTCTCCTTTCCATACCCTGGAGGGAATGACCCTTTATCTCACAAGTGCAGGTAAATTTTGGAGGCTGAAACTTTAAGCTATATATTTTCCTCTCTCCTTTCTCTTTTATACACTCTCAACATATTTTCCTATTGCAGAATTTATTTAGACTCCCTTAGTCACCCTGTCTATAGAGTCCCATACAGAATATTTAAAATGAAACAAGGTTATAGTGCAGTATATACAAATTTGGGGAACATTGTACTCAAGCCATATCAAAAGACCTAAGAGGTTTCCCAGTATCAAGGGCTTTCTTTTGTAATTACCATTTTTAGACTTGTATCTCTTGAATAAATCATGTTACTCACTCAGAATATATTTGTATTTCCTCTCATACTGCACTTTCCTTGCCATTAAACCCAGACTCTCTTAGCAACACATCATTTGCTTAGAGTATTTAATATCCATGGAGTATTTAATATTCCTCATTCTTCAAAAATGAAAAACCATTTCATTCATTCTTCATTTTATTTCATTGTAATTTTGCTATGTGCTTGGGCTGGTGCCTGGTGCTCACAATCCAGAGTCTGGTAGCCATATGGAGAAGTTTGATCAAAGCATGGTAGGATTACAGTTGAGGAAAGATGTATCTCTCTCTGCCTTGGAGGTTTGAGAAAAGACTGTCTCTGAGCCATATCTCAGACATTGAGAAATGGACAGTTGTTCCCAAAAAAAAACCAGGGAAATTGCCAAAGGCAGAGGGATCAAGATGTATAAACAGATGGATAAGGAAAAAGATAAATAAGGCTGAAAGATATTCCTGGAACTTAAGATCTTCCTTAAGCTAAAGTTGTCTATTTAACATGGAGGCATGAGTCCAAAAGCAGCTGATTTGGATACAACAAAACACACACACACACACACACACACACACACACACACACACATTTTAAAGCAGTTTCATAACTGGAAACACATAAACAGAAAAGCAAAGTAAAAAAAGAAAAGTTAAACAGCAAAGCAAATAATGGAATAAATATTACCAACTTTATTACCTAAATGGTTTCACAGCCTCAAGTGATCAGATAGCCTTAGAAGTTAATAAGGGCTGAAACCTGTTTGGCTCAATGGATAGAGCGTCAGCCTGCAGACTGAAAGGTTCCGGGTTCGATTCTGGTCAAGGGCATGTACCTTGGTTGTGGGCACATCTCCAGTAAGGGGTGTGCAGGAGGGAGCTGATCGATGTTTCTAACTCTCTATCTCTCTCCCTTCCTCTCTGTAAAAATTCGATAAAATATTTTTTTAAAAAGAAGTTAATAAGAGGGAGAGATTCAGAGGTAAATTTTGGAGGCTGTAGATTAGATGGAGGCTGTACGCCAGCTCCTGGCCCCAAAACAGACACACCCCTAAATTACAGAGCAATCAAACTGAGCAACCAACTGAAGGCTACCTGCACTGAAAAATTAAAAGCAAGGATTAGAGAAGACACCATATAGAGACTGGTAAGAATGGCAGAGTCCCAGAAAGGGATAGCACCTGCATGCAGGTGTTTCATTGGCTGAGAAGCTGGAGGGGTATGGTGGCTGCAAAACTCTCTCCCCCTGAAAGTGTAGGTTCTCAATACCACTTAGGTGTCCCCAAGTAAGAGCTACAGAGATGGGAAGAGGAGCCTGTATAACATCTGGAGGTGAAAATCAGCGGGGATCTAGTCTTCCTGGGAGACTCAGACCACACACTCCCTGGGAAGAACCCTCCTATTGTTATAGCACCAGCTTGGGGAGTTCACAGCCTGGACACTGACTGCTTGCAAGATCATGGTGCTATAATCCTGTCCTGCAGAGGGGTCTGCTGCCTACCCCCAGCAGTGACTTTAAGGGGCCCTCTATTTTCTGGGGAGCCTTTTGGCAGAGATCCAGACAGTGACTAAACTGTGTGGCTTGGGAAAGAAAACCAATCTCTTGTACTTCAAGTGAATAACTAGTGCCCTGCCCCTCAAAACCTCTCAAGTCATTTGGTCTTCCCCACTTCCCTGAGTTTGGTGATCCAGGGCTGGGACTTTTGGCATCATCCTGCCCAGTTCAGTGGCACAGGGGTGCCACAATGAGCTGACACCTTTGGCACACCCTGTTGAGGGAAACCATGTACCCTGTCCTGCTTGGTTTGGCAGCATGGGGTGACCAGGGAGTCCTACAGCGCTAGAAGTTTTGTACTGGGTCTCTTTTGCTGAGACTTCTGGAGCCAGATGGGTGAGTGCTGAGCTGTGGCTATATTCTGGGTTGGTAAATCCAATCTCCCCTGCAAGTTACCTGTGCTACACCAAGAAGGTTTAGAGTTGTGTGCCCTCTCCTACAGGCTTGTTGGTACCACCACCAATGCGAGACGGTATTTTTATTTTATTTTATTAAAATGTATATATTTCTTTTATTTCAAAGAGGAAGGGAGAGGGAAAGACAGAAACATCAATGATGGGAGAGAATCATTCATTTGCTGCTTTTTACATGCCTCCTGCTGGGGATCAAGCCCACAACCCTGGCATGTGCCCTGACTGGGAAGCAAACCGTGACTTCCTGGTTCAGAGGTCAATGCTCAAACACTGAACCATGCCAGTCAGGCTGTGCGACTGTTTGGATCATCCTTTCCAAGTCCCAGATACCCCTGCGGTACACAGACACATTCCAAGTATGAGTCCCTCCAAAGCTATTGTCGGGGATTGGGACAAATTGCTTAGCCCCCACCTGAGGGTTGGGCCAGCATCATACCCAAAAGAGACTCTTTTGATCTATTACTCTCACCCTGGGGTGGCTAAGGTTGCTCCTTCTTGTGGAGGGGCTGGCTGACTGCACTCAACCTGAACCTGCAGTGAGCCATTCCAGGTGGAAGCACCAGAGTTGGAGACTCTGGCATAAAATGAGTGGTTTGGCTTTGAACCAGGGGCCACTTTCTCCTCACTGAGTGCCCGAATGCATGATTCCCCACCCAAGTCAGGGACCAACTAAATCTCTCCTCCCAACCCGAGTTGTTCTGCCCTACAGAGGTCTAAACCTGTAGAAAGGGCTCTATATGTCAACTAGCCTGGGCTCATCCTACAGTTTCTCTTCAGAAGGCTATGGGGAAAGACTAGGCAAACTCAGGGTGAGGCAGAGTAGGTGACAAGTGGTGGCAGACCTCAGGGAGCTCAGTCTTTTTACATATCTTTTCCCAGCTCTACTCTGGAAGAAGCTGACACTTTTAAATAAATTGCAGACTCAGACACAAACAGTGAACAGAGTGGTAGCTCCAAATAGGCCAGTTAAACAAAATGTCTGATAGAAACTGGAACCTCTACCTCACCCAAGTGGAACCAGAACCAGTACAACCAGTGGTAAGCTTCAGACCACTGCAGAGCTTGACCCAACTAGAAACACAAGTGGCACACCAAATAAGAATTCTGGCAAGGCCAAAACCAGATTGGCTCAGTGGGTAGAGCAACGATCTGCAGACTGGTAGGTCCCAAGTTTGATACTGGTCAGGGGCACATACATTGGTTGCAGGCACATCCCCGGTAGGTGTTGTGCAGGAGGCAGCTGGTCAACGTTTCTCTCTCATTGATGTTTCTAGCTCTCTATCCCTTTCCCTTCCTCTCTGTAAAAAATCTATATATATATATATATATATATATATATATATATATATATATATGAATTCTGGCAAGGCCAAAACTAGTTTGGTTCAGTGGATAGAGTGTCGGCCTGCAGAATGAAGGGTCCCGGATTCTATTCCGGTAAAGGGCATGTGCCTTGGTTGTAGGCACATCCCCAGTGGGGGGGGGGGGTGCTGGAGGCCGCTGGTCAATGTTTCTCTCTCACCGATGTTTCTAATTTTCTATACCTTTTTCTTCCTCTTTAAAACATCAATAAAATAAAAATTTAAAAAAAGAATTCTGACACAAAGCAGACCCTCCTGGGAATAACCCCAGTAATTGAGGTTAATCCTTATACTCACACAGCCTGATGGGTTATCTCCACACACAAAAAAACCATTCAAGACACAATTACAACAGGGGTGTGCTCATAAACCACAAGAATAATTCCTGGAAAACAAAGTTTAGGTTTTCTGAATGATTGGTGCCACTGAGCCCAGCAAGACACCTTCATCATAAATCATCATAACAAATTTAGTAGTTATAGATCTCCCTAAGAAAGAGAGAAAAAAGGGGAAGACAAAAAACAATGCCCTAAACAAAAGAACAAGGGGAATACACAGAAAAATAATTAAATTAAATGAAAGCAACCAAAATAACCAGTACAGGGTTGAAAACAATGGTTATGAGGATGCTCAAGTACCTTAGGGGGAAAATGGATGATCTCACTGAGAACTTACACAAAAAGATAGTAATCATTAAGAAACACAGACATCATAAAAAAGAACCAGTCAGAAATGAACTATACAAAATCTGAAATGAAAAATACACTAGAAGGAATCAAGAGCAGATTACATGAAGTAGAGGTGCAAATAGGCCAATTAGAGGACAAGATAACATCAAGCGCCCAAGCAAAGCATGTAAAAGAAAAGAGAATTGAACAAAATGAGGAAAATCTAAGGGGCCTCCGTAAGCTGGTGAAGAAAAGTCACTCAAGTTCAAAAAGCCCAGAGAGTCCCAATCAAAATGAATCCAAAGTGACCCATTCAAAGACACATTATATTAAAATGACAAAGATTAAAGACAAAGAGAGAATGTTAAAGTCAGCAAGGAAGAGACAGTTATTTATCTAGAAGGGAGTTCTTATGTCAGTTGATTTCTCAGCAGAAACCCTACAAGCCAGAAGGGATTGGCATGAAGTATTCAAAGTGATGAAAACAAAGACCTTCTATCCAGCAAGAGTATTATTTAAAAATAGGGGCCCAATGCACGAATTTGTGCACCTTGGAAGGAACTGTGGGCTGTGAGGCTGCAGTGGGAACAAGAGCAGGTCTTGGTCCATCCTCTGTGCCCCCACCCGACCCCTCCCACTGAGGATCCAGTCCCCTGTCTGCTGGCAGCCCTGTTCCCATCACCACTCCCATATGCTGAAGGCACCAGCTCCACTTTCACCCACCAACAGCACAGAGCAATTGGGGCCTGCGCTAGCAGTGGGTGTGAGCGGGGCAGGTACTTTCAGTGGGTGCAAGTGGCAGCTGCTGCCCCTATCACCCCTCAGGAGTATGGGAAAGTTGAGCAGCCATCTGGTGGCAATTGGAGCTGGCAGCCACCACTCACACCTACTGATGGTGCCAAGTGATCGGGACTGGAGCCGGGTACCGGCTGCCAGTATGAGAGGTGGCTATCGGCCCTGATCGCCCCTCAGGAGCAGGGGGAGGTGGAGAAGCCCTAAGGGGTGATCACAGCTGCCAGCCACCATTTACACCTGCAGACAATGCTGGGCAATCACTGACAGTGCCAGGTGCTGGCAGCAGGTATGTGTGCTGGGCGGGACAGTGGCATGTGGGAACAAAGAATTTTCATTAACCACCATAGGCTTGCCTTGATGACAATGACCAGTGTCCCACCCTTGTCTGGTACCCCCATTCACCTGCTTCACCATCCTACCATGTTCCATGCTCTGTCACTTGCTGCTGAAGCCCACCATGTTCCACACATGCCCCTGGTGGTGAGCGCACATCATAGTGACTGGTTGTTTTGTTGTTTGGTTGTTCCACTGTTTGGACTTTTTGCATATTAGGGTTTTATATATAGAGATTGAAGGAGAAATAAAAAACTTCTGAGACCCCTCTCTGCTCCCACCCCCTACCCCCCCAAAAAATCTAAGAGTTAATTGCCACCAAACCAGTATTGCAAGAAATATTACAGGGGCTACTTTAGAAATAGAAGAATGAGAAAAAGAGAGGAATATAGTGGTAAAGAAAAACATGGCAATATATAGATTCCTATCTAAACAAGCCAGAGGAAAATCATTTGGGAAAAAAAGAAAAAAAAGAAAAAGGATCCCAAGTCAAATTTATAGAAAATATCCCTTTATTAACTTTTGGTCGAGAATATGTTTATATATTGTCAGAAAACAACTCAGAGACCATGTGGATTCCTGCAACAGAGAGGAATTTACAGGTGTGCCATGAAGACAGAAGAGAAACAGTCTAGAGATGGAAGACGCTGAGAACGCCTTGCCATACCAGCAGACAGCAGCTGTGTGTTCCTTAAGGGTGCCCAGGACCAAACCAGAGACAGTCGGACCTGCATCACTACCGTTTGTCCACCAACCAGATCTGAAACATCACAGCTGACATGTACACATAGGAACTATTTGATATTGAAATTGGGAGTCAAAAGAACAGTTGGCCCAGAAAGGAACTCACTACAGACTGATTCCTTTGCCTCTCAGCATAACCATTATGGCTTGTATCAGTTTTCATTATTATAAGGATATTTCTTGAATCACATGATCTTACGCAGCTAGGGGAAATAATGAGCAACATAAACTGATGAACAAAAACGGACCCAGAGACAGAGAAGCAGTGATCAGACTGTCAAACCTCAGAGGGAAGGTAGGGAAGGATGGGGGTAAAGAGGAGAGATCAACGAAAGGACTTGTGTGCATGTATATGAGCCTAACCAGTGGTCACAGACAACAGGGGGGTAGGGGCATTTGTGGGGAGGGGTTTGGGATGAGAATGGGGGGATGAGTACAAATATGTGATACCTTAATCAAAAAAGTAGTTTAAAAATAAAGCAAAACAGCCCCTTAGCCTTTTCTTTCACAGAAACTTGTGTCAGAATAATCGTTCATCTGTTATACAGGGTCTGCTGGTCAGCCCCGGCAAGAAACCAGTGGCAATTTTATACACCAAGTATAAACAATCAGAAAGAGAAACTAAGAAATCAATCCCATTTACTATTGCTACAGAAAAAATAAAATTACCTAGGAATACATTTAACCAAGAATACAACATTAAGGGAAGAAAGCAATGAAGATACAAATAAGTGGAAGCATACACCATGTTCACGGACTTGGAAGAACTGACATCATTAAAATGTCCATACTACCCAAAGCAATGTATAGATTTGACACAATTCCTATTAAGAGAGAAATGTCATATTATATAGATCCAGAGCAATATTCAAAAATTTTGAAATATTTGGAACCACAAAAGGGCCCGAATAGCCTCAGCAATACTGAGCAAGTACAGCAAAATTGGAGATTTCAAACTATACTACAAGGCCAGTGTAATAAAAATAGTGTGGTACTAAGATAAGACCAGGCATGTAGATCAATGAGAGAGAATAGAGAGCACAGAAGTAAACCCATGTCTTCACGGTCAATTAATATTTAACAAAGGAGGCAAGAGCATACAAAGGATTAAAGGCAATCTCTTCAATAAATGACGTAGGGACAATTATACTGGTACATACAGAAACTGAACTAGACCACCAGTTTACACCATATTCAAGGATAAGCTCAATGTGCATAAAAGTCTTCAATATAAATGGTGAAATAATAAAAATCCTAGGAGAAATCATAGGTAGTAAATTCTCAGACATGTGTCATAGTGATATTTTTGCCTATATATCTAGGATAAAGGAAACAAAGGAAAAATAAACAAATAGGAATACATCAAACTAAAAAGCTTCTGCACAGCAAAGGAAATGATCAACAAAGTGAAAAGGAAAGCCACTGTACAGGAGAACATATTTGCCAAAGATATATCTGCTGAGGGCTTAATTTTTGAAATATATAATGTACGTATACAACACCAGGATGACAAACAATCCGAATAAACAATATGATTATGGGCTTCAAATATCCTAAACACTGCTTGTCTTTCTGTGTCTCTGCTCTGCTAGCTCATGCTTGTTTTTTTGTGGTTGTTTGTTTGGGGTGTGTGTGTTTGTGTGTGTGTGTGTGTGTGTGTGTGTGTGTGTGTGTAGGCTGTCTCATTAAGGTGAACAAGAAGACCCCAGTAGTGACAGACTCAAATCCTCTGACCATGGAAACCCCACTGAAGAGAGATGGCTTTTTCTGGAACTAATGGCTTGCTTGTTTCATATATCCATGGTGAATATGGCACAATGTCCATGAGGAGAGGGCCTTGACAGGCTCAAGCTAAACTATATTACTATTCTGAGAGAGGACTTGTGACCGTTCCACAAGGATGACCTAAGTGGAAGAGTAATTCATGTCTTTTAAAAACAATGATGAAAAATTTTTTTTTTTTATTATTGAGGAGGATCCAAGATGGCTGCACAGGTAAACACCTAACCGCAGCTGCACACAACAATTTCAATAAAACACAACTAAAATATAAAATGGATATTACACAGAACTCCAAGAAAGTTGAATGACTGGAAATTCTACAACGAGAAGGAAAGAGAAAGCCAGAAGGAAAATCAGAAGAGGTGTAAAAGCCTAAGGTACGGAAACACGCTGTGCGCTCAGGGAGGGGGGGAGGCTGAGTGCCTGGCTGGCTTTCTCTAGCGGGAAGGAGATAAAAGCTCAGATTGTGCCAAACCCCAGACCTGACAGCGCAGAACCCCAGTTCTAGGCCTGACCCTGGGGAACCAGGCTCAAACAGAGGGAGCCGGGGCGGTGAGGCAGAATTCCAGGGGAGCGGCAAAAGGCAGAGC